CTTTGGCGGCTGCGGCAGCAGCTGCTACGCCGCAGCTGCGCAGGGGGGGCCCCCCCGCTGCAGCAGGGGCCCCCTGCTGCGAGGCCCCCTGCAGCGCAGCGGCACACTCCTGGGGGCAACTCGCAAGAGGCCAAGGAAGCAGCAGAAGCACTTGAAGCGCTGCAGCGGAAGCTGCAGCTCGTACAAAGCGAAAGACAGGTCTGTCACTGACACAGGGGGCCCCCAGCTCTAGGGGGGCCCCTCTTAGGGGGGCCTCCGGGGGTGCCTTCCTTGAGGGGCCCCAGGAGCCCTCTTTGGGGGGCCCTTGGGCCATCAGGGGGCTTCGCTTTGAGGGCCCCCAATTTATAGATGGTTGTGTGCCAGTGCAGCTTTTGCTGTACGCAGCAGGAGCTGCTGCTGCTGCTGCTGCTGCTGCAGGCGCATGAAGCTGCGATTTTGTGTCACTGCTTTCTTGCTGCTGCAGCACCTCAGAGAGGCCCTTAAGAGAAAACATGTTGCAGAAATGGAGCTCAGGGCTCATCTATCTTCTATCTCCGCGATAAACGAACAGCTGCAGGCAGAGGTAAGGAAAGGCAGCAGCAGCAGCAGTAGCAGCAGCAGCCGCAGGGGATGCTGTAGCCTGGTTCCCCATGAGCGCCGTGTGGGACTTCGCCTTAGCCTTTCGCGCCTATTCTAGGAGGCAACTGCTGCTGCTGCTACTGCTGCTCTGCTGCTGCTGCTGCTGGTCTGCAGGCCTCAACCCTCATGAACTTCCACAGACTCGCCGAGGCGCACGGGCCCGAAGCAGCAGAAAAGCTTCTCCTCCAGCAGGTACGCCTGCTGCTAATCGTGCTGCTGCTGCTGGCGTTGCTCCAGTTGCTGCTGCTATTTCTGCTGCTGCATTATGCGTGGAGTGGTGGCTCCCCAGGCTGCGCCCCACACTTCCCTGCGAGCTTTGTGGGGCCAGCAGCAGGGGATCGATTTCTGGGAACCTTTGCTGCTGCTGCAGCAACAGCTAACTTTTGCTGCTGCGTCTCTCTGCAGATGAGGTCTCAGACGGAGCAGCAAACCACTCAAATCAAAGAGCTGCAGAGACTTCTCTCCAGCAAAGAGGCCCACACAGCGGCCCTTGAGGTGAGCCCAGGGTCACCTGTGGGCCTAAACCCTACAGGGGGGCCCCCCTTGGGGGCCCCCCTGTAGGGTTTAGGCCTTGACAAGGCAGCTGCAGAGGGACTGGCTTCAGCAGCAAGTTCTTTAGGCTGCAGCAAACTCTAGAGTTGCAGCAGCACTGCCAGAGAAAGCCGCTTGCGCGTTCGTGGGGCCCTGCTGCTGCTGTAGCTGCTGACGCTCCTCGTCTTGCTGCTGCTGCTGCTGCTGTTGCTGTGCTGCTGCAGCGCGAAGTCACAGTATGCAGGCAAGCGCTGGCTTCTGTGGGGGCCTTTCTAAGGAACGTTCCCCTCGAGAATCCCCCCGAAGCTGCTGCACAGCCTCGGGCCAAAACTGAAAGCCGCAGCACTCAAACTGAGGCCCCCATTGCCCCCACAGAGCCTGACTCTGACAGCCAAACGTGAGCCTACATAGTGCAGCAGCAAACAGCAGCAGCAAACCGGAGCAGCACGGCACAGCAGCACGACGCTGCAGCACAGCGCTGCAGCACAAAGCTGCAGCACAGTGCAGCAGCACGCAGTGACTGCAGGGGGGCCCCCTCTTCAGAGGTTTCTGCGGGGCCCCAGGGGAGCCACACGAAGGCGCTTTGGACTAGGGGCCTCTCTGCTGCTGGCACGGCCTAATCCCTAGACTGCATGCAAGCGCATGCAAGTGAACCTGGGGGCCCTGTGCTGTTTGCTGCAGAGACTCCGTGAGGCTTCATTCCCAGGCAAACTGGGCTTCTAGGCCTTCTAGGGGCCCCTCAGGAGTGTTGGGGACCGGCATTTAGGCCTATTTGAGCAGCAACGGCAGCCCCAGAGACAGCTACAGGAAGCAATTTGGAGGCAGCTAGCTGTAGCTAGCTGTAGCTAGCTGTAGCTAACTGTAGCCAGCTGTACTAGCTGTAGCTAGCTGTGGCTAGCTGCAGCTGGACGTGTCCTACTGTAGCTAGCTGTAACTAGCCGTGACTAGCCATGGCTAGCTGTGGCTAGCTGTGGCCAGCTGTGGCTAGCTGTGGCTAGCTGTGCATTTGGGCCTGTCTTGTCCTGTGTCGCTCCCCCCTCGCAGGCCGCGTCCTCCCCTGCCCCCAGCCCCAGCACGGAGGGCCCCATGCCGCCGCAGGAGGCTTTTGCTGCTGAAGATTTGGCTGGCAGCAGCAAGTAAGGCATTAAATAGGCCCCCTTTCCTGCGCAGCCTTTGCTGAGTGTAGAGAATCTGAAAAGCTGCATTTGCTGCTTCTTTCGGGGGCCCCATACCCTGCCCCGCTGCTGCACTTTGTGACCTGCAGGGCCCCAGAGGGCAGCGAGTCCACAGGGGGCCCCCAGGGGCCCCCGGAGGCAGCCCTGGGGCCCCTGGGGCCCAGCGCAGGCGGGGGGGCCCCAGAGCCCGCTGAGGAAAAGGGCCCACAGCAGCCCCACGGGGGGCTCCCTGCCCCTGCAGCACCCATAGAAGATCAGGGGGCCCCCCTGGGGGCCAGCGGGCCCGTCATGAGGTTCACTGTGGGGCCCTCCACGGGCTACGAGCACAAGAAGGACGACGCGGTGGACACGGCTGTGGCTGCGTTGAGCAACGCTCGGTAAGCCCAGCAATTCTTGCTGCTGCTGCTGCTGCTTCTGCTGCTGCTGTGCTTCCGTGCTAAGCGCCTGCCCGCGTAGGCCTTTTGGGGGCCCCTCTAGGCCCGACTTTGCCTCAGCTTTCACCTTTCACAGTGAGGCCCTATGGGGGCCTCCGGGGTGCATGCATCTGCGTGTGGGGCGCGCTGAAGGGGGGCTGCTGCGCTGCAGCTTCTGCATGCAAACATCCCCAAAATGAGGCCTTCTTGAGGGCCTTGAGGGGGGCAGTGGGGGCCTTTCCCCCAGGCTTAAAGGGCCCCTGCTAGCTCTGTGCTGCGGCTTTGTTTGCTGCTGCTGCTGCTGCTGCTGCAGAATCAACAAAGTACTGTTTACCCGCATTTGCAAAGGAGTCTACCTGTACGGACACCTGGCAGTGGCCATGCGCCTCAGCACTTCAGGAGAACTGAAAGTTTCTTATGAAGGAAAGGACTACTCGGCCAAAGAATTCATCCACAACTTCGAAGTGACTTCTGCACTGAGACCGTCCTCTGCGCGCCTAGGGGTTTAGGGTTTAGGGTCTAGGGTTAATGGTCAAGGGTTTAGGGTTTAGGGTTTAGGATTTAGGGTTTGGGGTTTAGGGTTTAGGATTTAGGGTTTAAGGTTTAGGGTTGAGGTTTAAAGGTTTAGGGTTTAATGTGCAGGGTTTGTCACTGAGGCCTTCGCTTGTGGCGCATTATTATTGACTTGTTAGCCTTGAACTCGCTAGAGCCTCTTCTGTAGTTCTGCGCAGCAGCAGGCCTAAAGAGGGGCCCCAGAGGGTTTGGCTGCGGATTTGCATGCGTTTTTCATAATGCATGCAAAGCCTTTTTTCTTTTGCTGCACAGGAAGAAGAGTTTCGCTATTTGAAGGAAAGGCAAAAAGAGTCCGGCCGCGCAGTTTCCCTCGAAGTGTGCCCCCATGGGGCCCCCAGCCCCAGCCAGGGGCCCCCAAGAGCACAGGCAAAGCAAGCCCGGCTTCGTTCTGTGAAATCAAAGGGAGACCCGGGGGCCCCCGACAGCAAGAGGGGCCCCCCGAGGCGTCGCAGCGTTGCGGGGGCTGCAGCTGTGGGCTTGGCCCCAGAGGGCCCCCTGGATGGGAGGCCCCGCCGCAGCCGCAGCAGCAGCAGCAGCAGCAGCAGCAGGGCCCGCTCTTCAGCCTCCACGCTCCCTTCTTGCCGCCTGCTGCCCTGCAGCAGCTTGCCACTCAGCCACGGCGTGGGCTGCTGGGGCCCCCAGGAAAGGGGCAGTTCTTTTGTCTTTCAAGACACTGTCTTCAATATGAGGAGAACTGCTGGCCCTCTTTGCTGCAGCGGGAGAAGCCCGAAGTCAGCAGCAGCCCCGCGGGCAGCAGCAGCGCCAAAGGCAGCAGCAGCAGCGGCGAAGCCAGCGGCAGCAAAGCCAACAGCAGCAGCAAAACCCCGACTTGCAGCAGCAGCAAGCTTCAGCCTCCCCAGCAGCGCCTCCCTGCCCTCTGCGGGGCCCCGCAGCACAGGCCCAAAGCAGCGCTTGAGGGCCCCCAGTGCTGCTGCAGAACAGCTCACTCGCCCCGGCAGGGCTTGTCAGTGCAGCAGCGGGGCTGCAGCAAAGCTGGGCCAGCCCGCAGCTCAGCCCAAGTTGCGGCAGGGGCCCCGGGCCCCCACACGGCTCTATAGCCCCTTGTAGACTAGCTGGGGCGCTGAGCCCCGGGGGCCCCCTGACGGGGCCCCCCTGCGGGCTTTCTTCCCCTTCTGAGCCCTACAGGCAACAGCTGGCAGCTTCGGAGCTGCTGCTTTCCGAAGTGCCCCGTAGAAAGACCCCAGGGCATGCAGGGGGGCCCCTGAGGCCACAAAGAGCTTGCTGCAGTGCTCCGAAGGGGCCCCACTGGCAGCAGCAAGCTGCTGCTGCCCCAGCTGTACTGCAAGAAAGCAGCCTAGGCCAGTTGGGATAGTTTATTTCGAGCCTCTGCTCCTCAACCTCTTTAGAAATTTGCAGCCTTTTGGCTTTACTCCTCTCCCAGGCAGCAAACTGAGCAAATTGCCCCACACTGTTAGTGCACAGCTGCTACAGCCTTTTGTGGCACTGCTAAATGGCCGCAGCCGCCACCCACGGAAGCTAATCAGTAGAGAAGAAAGCTGGGCTTTTTGAGTCTGTGAATTTGCTGCTTGCTGCCTAAGCCTGGCCCCAGCTCGCCTCGGTCTTGTGCGCAAATTAAGTCCGGGCTGCACCATTAGCTGCTAAATAGCCCCCGGTGTTGACCTTTGGGGAAAAGCCCATGTCTCTGTCTCCAGCTGCACGTAAATTATGGCCCAAGGGGCCCCTGCGGGGCCCCCTGGGCCATATTGGGGCCCTGTGGGGCCCGTGGGGGTCCCCAGGGGCCCCAGTGGGCCCGCGTGGGGCCCCAAGGCTGGCGGGTCTAGAAGCACGTCAACACAACAACCCCACCGTTGAGGCTTAGTGGAGCTGAGTGGCTAAGTGTCTATGAAAATGCGACTTCCTAGGACTGCCCCGCTAGAGGGCAAGTCAACGAGTTACGTTACAACTAGGTAGAACTGCAGCAGCAGCAGAAGCTGCAGGTGCAGTTTTGGCCTGCCCCCTCACACAGAGGCCCCTGCTTTGTGCCCCAACAGGGGGCAAACGAAGGAGGGGCCCTCTGTCTCATGTTTTTCTGTTCTTCTAAACCCCAGGTAGTAGGTTTGCCGCGGCAAAGGCTGTGCACAGAAGCTGGGGGCGGAGAGGGCAGGCAGCAGCTGTTATTTTAGCCACTAGAAGGGCCAAAATGGCCCAAAGAATAGCCCCAGCTGAAGGGGCTGCTGCAGCGAAGCAGCTCTATGAGGGTGTGGGGCCTTTTGCCACGTACTTGGCCAAATGGGCTGCGCAGCAGCCCCGCGCCTGCAGCTGCGCTGGATCGCCTGCGCAGCAGCAGCAGCTGCTGCTGCAGCTGCTGCTGTAGCTGCTGCTGCA